CTCGAATCCAGCGACTCCAATAATGTTCTTACCGTTGCCTATCCGCGACAGCTTATTTGTTACAGCAAACCTCCGTTCCCATGTTTTCAACCCGCGGACGGGCAAGATGATTAAAGGCTAGGGGCGCTGGGTTCATACGGCAGGGCTGAAATTATTTCTTAATTGAATCCATGCTGATATGGAGTAAAACTGATTCGCACTTCAACTGAGACCGGCAATTTGCGACTTTTACATTAGCACCGAAACTTCAGCCCTATACTTCCGCCACGGTGCAAACTTAAAACCTGTAGGACACGATCAAAAGGTTTAGTTACAGATGTAGGCTTAGCGATAATGCTGCAAAGAAGACATATTACCGCTAATGAACTGTAAATCGATGCCAGTCCATACTAGCACTGACGGAACTATGGGCGGAAATATACGTTCGTTTTATGGATAATTACTGATGAAAGTGTTATATCGTAACAACGAATTGATAGATATTACATAACACAAATATGCACATTTTGTTACAAAAAGCAAACTAAAGCAATGCCCGCTAAATTGCGCTTTATATCGGTTCAGAAAATAATTACCTTCGTCAGGAAATGAATCGAAAACGCAAACGCCTCGCTGTTCTTTGTAGACGTATTCATATAATTTCCAATCAGTAGCACGAGTTGAAGAAGACACGAAAATCCCCGACTACCCCTCACTTCGTCACAGGCGGATATGACGGCGACAATTTTCTAAAGGGTGTAAAGTTGTCATTGGCATGAAATTGTGCAGACATTATGCCAACGTACCGGTTTAACGTCGTTAACGATTTCAGGAAATTTCAACTTGAAGTTCATCGCCTGCAGACGAGGCTTCAGTTTGGAAATGGACGCGATCTTAAATTTAATTCTGAATAAGATACCGAAATTTATTTGAAAAATCGCCTCTTTCTCTACCTTCAATGTGAACTGTTCGGCCTCAGACAACTCGGAAAACCTATTACTGAAATCCCTCAGGCGGTTAATGATGCTTTCTTCGGGGAAGAATGTCATTAGCTGTTGAATCACATTCTCCGACAACTTTGTTTCGTCGACTTCAAGAATCGCTTGCACCCACTCATCCAATGAAAGCTTAACGGCTCCTTGCAAGATGGCTTAAAAAATGAATGTCAAACTTTAGCAATTTCAAAAACAGTTTAATGTATGTTTTACGCATAAAACCTTCTACAGACACAAATCACAGAGCTTGAATCATCTCCGAACGAGTAAACAATAGGAAAGCCATCTGGGAGTGAGTTAAACGATACTGCATCGCTTTCTGATCGCTAAGACAACTCCAACATTTCACGGTTGCTACTGCTGTTAAAAATTAGAAAAAAATCTTAAATCGTCGTAGGGAATGCCATTCGTATTGATTAGTCTATATGAGATGAATGGACAAATGCCAATATTTTAAATAGCAAAGATATTAATTTAAAAGAACAGAATATCCTTCAATGGCATCCTTACTAAAATGACAAACGTTAATACCTCTCTCCCTCTCATTAACCTTGAAATAGTCCGATAATGAGGCAACGAAAACCGCGGGAATAACATATTTCTTCGTGATCTTCTGCTATCATGGAATGACTATACGTTTAGCCATTACACGATCCCAACTGTTCGCAGAACATCGACCTGTTAATCCGAGGACGTTCTGATTTGCAGGTGGGTTCCATGCTGCTAGCAAAATGAACAAGAAAACACCATTTGAAGTAGCTCAAAAACATTTAGATTTACAATTAAAATTCAGTTCAAATTATTGATGCACGGACTGTAATTGATCGCGCTGAAGACGTCGTTCGCCACACATTTAGAAAAGAGCTCTGTCAAAGAATTATGCAAGCCAATACTATAGAGAACGAAGAGTACTAAAAACTATGTTGAACAACACTCAAACGAACCAATTCAATGGAAGTTTTCAGCAGGCAAACTCTGAAATCATCTGGTTCCCACATTACTGGTGCCAGATGTGACACAACGGTACGTCTACAGGTCTCAGCTATGCGTACAGAAACTAACAGAAAACTTAGCATTCCAAATTTCAGACTAATCACTGTTACAACGATGAACTAACAAAACACGTAAAAACAGATATTCGATATTATGTTTCGTACTGCCATTGGCTGGGATTTAAATTTGGAATGGAACAGGGCTTCAGCAATAGTACGAATAAGCGAATAGCACCATCAATAGCAACCATACGAACAGACATTCCAACAACGAACATCTCAAAGAAGACCTGCAAAAAAGATGCAACAACTTCGGCACCTGCTTTCTTTTGATAAACTACTTACTGGAAGTCATTCAAATGAGCCATTTAACAATGATTAATATACGATCAGCATAATTTGGTTTAAAATTTTATGCCTTCACAACGTAGGAATGGCTCTCACCTAAAAGCTGAGCTGTTTTCGCGTCCAATACTTTCAGATCTTTCACTTTTTTAAAAGTCCTTTGCGATATGTCAATGTTGCTTGTCTGTACTATAAAAAACCAACGATTAAACGAGGAACAAGTTGAAAACAAGAATAAAGCTAAATACCTCTAGTTTTCAGGGCAAACAAGTCGTTGATGTTTTCGAACAGTTCTGGCGTAGCGAGTTCTGCCTCGTCGATCTTTGCCCAAAACATGTCTTCGCTGAGTTTCTGTGGACTTATCTGAACAAAGAATCAAATTTAACAGCAACTAGAATTAACTGTGGTTAAATCAACATATTCAACGTAAAGCCAGAAAAGATGCATTCATCGAAACAAATTTTAGACATTCATTTCTTATCAGTTAAGTACGCTGATAATATATAATAATACAAGTCACGCGTTGCACAAATGTACATAATACTAAAACAAAATTTTCACTAAGTACGCCAGACAACGGATAGAGATTTACAGTCAGCACTCATCACTAAAAAGCAGCATCTATTTCAAACACCTCTTCCAGCAATGTCATTACATTACGCCATTATAAAACAAGTGATAAATATATCAGATAAGAGTATAAAATAATACGAATACCATCATCAGGACAATAATAATACAATTATCCATGGTAATAGTACTGCCATGTCAAACATTACCTGCAACAGTAATATCAACCGTTAGATCTACTGGCATTATTATCACGTGTTAGACCAGTACTACTGCAACTGCAATTATGATTATATGCAGTAAAGGTAAAAATACTACTGCTAAAACGAGGAATCAACACAACTACATCGTCAGATAGCGGAACTCCTATCCTACTAAGAATTACTAGTGAATTACTATTACACAGATAGCAATATTTCTACTTCAAAAACTACCAAAATATCGGATAGTTACTACTGCCAACTCTCATAGTAGGTGTTCTGCTATCATCTTAAGTAATATAACCGCTAATGATATAAGGATACAGAAGTACCCATCAGAAGTACTGCGTATCATTTTATCAGCCAGAAGTACTTCATGCTGGTCACGAACGTTGTTTCTTTCGTTTCACGTTTTACACACCATTGCATCAGCATCACAATATCCTAGTACGCTAAGTATGTTAAATGGCAGAGAGTTCTTTCAAAATCAGATTTTACGGCGTACTGCACCGCCTCACTGCCATCATTTACCTATGGGATACTTTAAACAGACCACGACTCCAAGATACTTCAGCATCTCCCGTGATAGCTGTAACTCGCTAAACCAGGCTCGTTCTCGTTCAAACACATTTTATACTCAAACGTAATCGATCAATGACCTGTTTAAATCCCCCCAGGACCTACAAACTGTGAAATACGAAATGAAATTTGGCCCCATGTGCCATTATCACATTATCGATACTTATAGAAACTCTAAATATAACCTGATAGCAGTGGCCTGCTAAAACACATGATTTGAAGTAGAGGCACTGCGGTGAATGATACAGTTACCAGCTCTGACAATAATAGCAGTAGTAACGCAAATATTTTCAAAATGAACAGCACTACAGTTTAGGGCAAAACCACGTATTTATACAATTACGTGTAGAAAGTAAAACATGATTCAATAAAATTTGTGTAACACTGCACAAATAAAAGCACATAATAAACATGACAGTCGTACCGCCAATATCAATGTTACAGCTGCAAATAATAACAGTGGTAAATGCCCTTGACACCGTGCGAGATAGAAGTACTGATACAGTCAAGGCCCTCGTTAATGCTATCAGTCCTATTTGTAATAATACTACCAGTATTATCATGAAAATCAAAGAAAGTTACATAACTACAATCAGCAGCTGCAATAATGCTGGCATTAGTGGCAGTGATACTGCTATCATAAGAGATACAGGTGACACTTGTAAAACGGTAGCAGCAGTACTACTAAAATATATAGCTTGGAATGAATAAAGCATATACAATACAAGTACTGCCGTTAATATGAACATCACTGCCTATGGTATCTGTAACAGTCATACCAGTACCACTACCGCCAGTCAGCACTACTGCAACTTCTGCAAACAGTAGTACCGCTATCACCTAATTTCTCTGATATCATTATCACAGAGTGGAGCGAGAGTCGTATTTACAAAAGTACTATTGCACAGAATTTTGGATATCTATAGCATATACAGTGCTGATCATCTTGGTCATATACATAATTTAAACAAACTATAACTGTATGGTTATAACCTATAGTTGTATGTTGTATCAGTTACATAGTTGTTAAATTGTCTATAGACACGCTTAACAATATTTAGTAGCAAAGAAAAGAGATTTTAGCTGTTAAATTACATCGGAATACGTAATTATATACAAGGATGATAATAAACTATACAGATGTCATAAAACACCTTCTATTGAAGTTATCCATATATGTATTTATAGTGATATACAACAGCACACAGATCAGTCGTTTCGTACATGTATAATCATAGATTTATATAACAACTGTGAAACGGTTTGAGTGGTGCCACTAACATGCATGTTGCTTAAAACACAACCTCGAATTTGCCCGTGAATATGCTTAGTTTGCAGCGTTTTCAGTGATGGACTGCCGATGTTCATATGTCCTGAGTCGTGATCTGCTTAAATACCACCACTAGATGCCCAGAAACAACGGGACAATGCAACATAGCAATAAAACGCGATGTAATGAAATGCATCGTCATTCACTGCTTTAGTATTGGTGTACTCCAAAACGTAAAAGACATTAAAAAACAC